TTGTTGTAATATAGTGTGACTATTTCTATTATTCGATAGATACGCATCGTTGCGTTTTTCAATTACTCACGGTTCAGGTGTGTAAAAGGGATCGGACGAGTGTCGAACGTATTGCGTACAGTGGAATACGCGAAAAGCAAGGCCGGCCAAAAAATCTCTTGGTGAAAGGTAACCTGCCACGGGTCGAAGTTGAAATCCAGTTGTTCCTAATAAAATCCCATAATACAAATTGCATTTCTTTATTTCTATTCTTTTCGTACTAATTTTTTTTTTTTTTTAATTAGTATCATTGATCATACACTTACGCTTTAAGAAAACATTAACATCTTGCAATTGCGGTATGTTATCCTCTCTGTTAATCAAATGTAAAATTTATCGAATTAATCGTGTTTATATTACGTGGCTTAACTTCATTCTCAGAAAAATCACTAACCTATAGCCGCAATACTTGACCAGCTTCGGCCAATTTTCCAAATACTCGTTGCAAGCATGTTTCTGATAAAGTTGATGCAACTCACGAAAAACGGTTCCCCTAAAGAGATCGAATGTTTATTCATGGATAAAAAATTTTGACGATATGAAATTATGACAGATCATTTGCAAATATTGCCGCACAAACCACCAGTGTGTCAAAGTTTTAGATTTCAACCAGTCGGGATTATTTATCGCGCGCTTCTCTTATACACATCTAGAGGAAATCGTATTAGAGAAGTCACTCGAAGATCGTGGGGATAAACTAAATAAGGACAATTAAGGACTGCATTCAACGCGAGCCAATCTTGATTGGTTCATACATCGCGGAGGCGGAACTTTTCCTGTTATATTGGCAGAACTAGGGTAGGATAGATACCGTAATTGAAGGAAAATCTTCCGAGGATATCGAAAGAAAGGATCGTTTTTTCTTCGTTATTATAGATTGCCTTCGTGTTTATCAAAGCACGTACGAAGATTCCTCGTAACGAGAGAAAGTTTTATCACGAATTTCGTACGAACGAACCTATTTATTACCATCGTTAAGACATATTTTCAGAAACGCGAAACGAAGTCAAATAAATTTACGAACCATGTTCTGATTTCTTCCGATGTATACTGCACACGAGGGATTGGTTGGCCACTGAAAGAGAATTGGTGTCAGTAATTTTTTCCATGTCGTGCTTAATAAATGTTAATAATTTTTTTTTTTTTATAACAAATCATAGACTTGCAACGTACTATCTGTAACTGTTCGCAATATCCGCGAATTGTACACGACGTTTGCGATACACCGGGTCTTTGAAGCCCTAAAAGTGATGAATGAAATTTATTACATAATGTTGCACACACTTAGGATACTAACAAAAGAAAGTAATATTTGAAAAGAGAGAGAGAGAGAGAGAGAGAAATGAATCATACCGGATGATCTGCATCCAATTCGGATCCGTACATAAGCACGTTTTGAGCCTGATCTAGATCCGATATTTTTCGTGGAAACCAAGGCATATCTACTTCACTGAAATCTAGAAATTTCCGACGTGAGTACAGTAAAAAGTTTTTTCGAGAATGATTTTCACAGGAAGTTTATTAGAATTTATTGGAGGTATTTAACGAAATCGTTTTAAAAATGCACCGCTTAAAATAATTTTAAACTTGTAGCGAAGAAGTTGGAGATTATAAATAGATCAATGGAAAAAGTTCGAACAATTTGAGACGATTGTTTAACCGGGAAGGAAAATTGAGCAATGAAAGGAGAAGAACTTACCAAAACTTGGAGCTGCGGAAAGTGATGGAGCGTGAGGAATATTTCCTGTTTGCTCGTACTGTGCCAAATTAATAGCAGCCACTTCTCGGCTCAACATCCTTGTCAATTGTTCCATTCTTTTCGAATCGCATTCCACGTCAACGAGGATTTCGAATTCAGAACCGCGACGCAACGACTTCCGCGACTCGATGTGAATAACATTCACACCCAGATCCTTTGTGAAATATTAATCAGAAAAAGAAAACATTTCTATGCACGTTTTAGTATGTTGGACAACAGTTTTTAAAGATATTTATAGTAATTTCAACGTTCATAATAATTCTGTAGT